TGATCTTCTCGGTGTGGGATCGCTTTTCGAAGCCAGCGTGACGCCAGCGGAGGGATCCGATACAATGTACGTAGTTACTGCAGCGTCTGCCGGGAGAAGAGGCGGTAGAGTGCATGGCCGGCAGTGCACAGGGATAAATCAAACAAGAGCTCAGCTCCAAAGCGGACGAGTCGTCGTCAACTGTCGTTCCGCCCAGCTCGCGTGATGAGCTTTTCTGATGCAAGTCTGGCGCCACTCAAGCGATGGCTTGCAACTTTGTACTACTGCGTTCGATCCTCACGAAGTGCCTTCGAAGAACTTCAAAAGGACCAGCTGAAAAAGAAATGAGAGGAGTTGATGGCGTTGCAATCCGCAGTTTTGCCAACGGCTTCAATCAGTGGGGGGATCTCCAAACAGTTTGAAAAAAACTCCATACAAAATCCAAGTCATAGATTTCTGATCCGTCGGCCTCGCTATGCATCACAGCATATGATGTTCTACAGCCATACAACATTCGATTTTCGCCCTTTCTTCAACCAATGAAATCGCTTCGAATATCTGGTTACAAAAACGTAAAAGCGACGAAACAAGTAAAAACGCAATTCTTGACCACTTACAGAAGCAATATATTAAAATTTAAGCGTTTAAAAGCGCAATAAGAAACTTTATTATTGGGTCCTTTTTCGAGCGACGCTGGACTGGTACGATGCCGTCGTGCGATCGTGCGCTTACACCTCCCCGTATCAGGCTGGGCGCCACTCGGCAATCATCCATTTACATCTCGAGCCTAGGCGCATCCTGCCGCGATCTAATACTAAAAAAAAAAGTAAAAACAATGCAGCCGCTGGAAGCGACCAAAGCCAAAGTCTCCGATGACGCCGTGTCCAAGAAATGCAGACTCGCCAAGAAGAAGAAAGTGGCTAAACTTATTGACTCCGACGCCGCCAAGGTCGATCCCGTTGTTGTTGCTACGACCTCTGCAGCGACTCGCAGTCCTGGTCCCTATCGTGGCAAATGTCTGTACCAGTCCCGCAAGTGCGAGAATGAACGGGCCGTCAAACGCAATGGCAAGCCGCACAATTTGTGTGAGGAGCACCGGTCCAAGCAGAATCAGCATCAGCGCAAGTTCGACGCCAAAAAGTTTTCAAGGAAGAGACGACGGGACAGTTTGTCGGACGAAGACGCCAAGTCTGACAAGCGGTCGCACCGAAATGAAGAGTCGAGTGTCAAGCACCAGCGGACGAACCAGGTAGCAGAAACCAGAACGCCCTCTCACGTGACTGCACCCACTTCATTGTCAAGTATTAGAGAGAACTACTACACTGCAGGATCTACGCCCATGTCAGCTCCGTTGACGAGGTTACCACCGATTCAGAGTCCGATTTTGCCCCCGTCGCCTGCTGTATTGTACTCAACCTCGAGTTCTATGGTGCATTCTGTAGCTGCTCCTATGGTTCATAGAGGACAGCAAACTTCGCGTG